GAGAAGAGACCAGCCCCAACCTCTCCACAATATCCTGTCAGGTAGCTGTAGAGGAGAGGGTATTTGTACTAAAATAGCTCTTTTTCCTGCCATGGCCCCTGCTCGTCCCATCTGGTCATAAACATGGTTTGAATCCTTAATGTTACAAAACTCCTGCTAATTAAGTGAGTGAAGCTGCTGTTTTGAAACAACAGGCGTCAGTTTTTGCAACAGCAAGAAGTTCCACTTAATGTGCCATCGATTCCATTCAGGTTTTATTTAGAAGAATGAGGTACTCAGATGCCTTTTTTTTTGCTTATAGTTATACTATCAGATTTAATTTTCCTTCTTCTAGCTACTATTCTTTGTTTCACACCACGCTGACCTTTAGGGGTATGCCCTCAACCAAGCAGACCAGCCCGACCATAGAGATTCTCCCACAATTTACGTCGACCCACAAGCAAGGCACGTATGGAATTAATACCAGATTAGGAGTTCAAAGACTTGGATAAGCTCTACCCTAATAAAAAAGCCTGGCCCAGGCTGAGGATAGCAATCAGTTGGCCAGAGGAGCCGGTTCAGCTGTCGGATGTGCCACAGCTGAACCCCAAAACACCAGGCAAGGGAGCACTTGAACCAAAGGCACGGGCTGCTAAAGACGCGAGGACACGAGAGAGAAACACGAATTTCTCTCAGAAACAACCTCTCCTTCGGACACCCACACAGCATTAAGGCACTTAAAATTAACCAAGTCACTTTACGCCATGGTGCTGCGGGAGGCAGACTTGGGGGTGCACTCGTTTTCTCTCCAAGCTTTAGAAACTTTAAGTCTAACATCTCAAGATAATCAACCACGCTCCAGAGCTGCAGAATATCGAGACGTGGGATGATCTCAGGCTTCACAGGTAAGCAGACGTTACTTATTCAGGGCTGGTTTTGCAGAGCCTGAGGATCAGTCACTCCCCGGGGACTTCAGCTGGCATGACGGGTGCTCAGCTTACATTGATGTCCCCTCCTTACATCTGTCCCCAGTGCTGGCACAGAGTCACAAGGCAACGTCTTCAGGAAGGGATGTCAAAACATTTCAGCTCATTAAGATTTTGAGAAATCAACACAGCAGGACCTGGAATTTAATTTGTTTTTTAAAAATAAAAAATAAACCAAACCAACAAGGACATACTTAATTTTTCCAAGATCTCTTCATCTGACATTTTTGGCTTTTTCTTCATTTTCTCTGTATTCCTGACCAGCATGTCAGGCACCATCGTGCTGGTTTCCGAGGGAGAAGAAATAGGAGAGGTGGCCACATCTCTGGTAGGAGGAGGAAGGGGATCGATCACTGAGCGGGTGTAGATCTAATTTGGTTGAGAAAAACATATATATAAACACAAATCAGATGAAGGCTTCTAGTAACTATTCTTGTTATTGTCAGGGATGCACCTGTAGAGCTATTTTTTAACGGGTAATGTCACTCAGCAAGGACTCTCCAAACCAGGTGGGTAATAACACGAAGGTGCTCTGCCAGGAGGAATGGGTCCCACCTCCTCCCTCCTGCTCCCAGGAAAGGCTCAGCACCACACCACACCGTGTGGATGAGGACCCACAGGCAAGACCTGACCAGGACGGGGGCTGAAGGAAGTATTTCTGCTCACGGATTTTGTGTGTTCGGGTCGCGGAGCTATCACTGGGGGTGGAGCTGCATCGTCTTCATCATCTTCATCTTCAGAGACGGAGGGCACTGCAGGGGTCTCGGAGACAGCCTTCACGTTCTGCACGTGGTTACACAAAACAGCAAAAACAAAACCCCAATTGCTTGTTATAAATGAAATCGCAAACATTGGGCTAAGCTCCTAACAGAGGCTGAAGGAAGTGTAAAAAATAATGATCACAAGAGGCATCTGGAATGTTGTGTCGAGTTCTGGCCCCTCACTTCCAGCAGGACAGGGAACTGCTGGAGAGAGTCCAGCGCAGCCCCAGGGCTGATGGAGGGATGGAACATCTCCCTGAGGAGGAAAGGCTGAGGGAGCTGGGGCTCTGCAGCTGGAGAAGAGGAGCCTGAGGGGTGACCTCACTCCTGGTGATCAATATGGAAAGGGGGAGTGTCAGGAGGACGGAGCCAGGCTCTGCTCAGGGATGGCCAGGGACAGGACAAGGGGCAACAGGCACAAACTGGAACATGGGGAGTTTCATCTAAATATGGGGAAGAACTTATTTACCATGAGAGTGACAGAGCCCTGGCCCAGGCTGCCCAGGGAGGGTGTGAAGTCTCCTTCTTTGGAGACATTCAAAACCCACCTGGACACGTTCCTGTGAGACCTACTGTAGGTGATCCTGCTCTGGCAGGGGGCTGGACTAGATGATCTCTAGAGCTCCCTTCCAATCCCCAACATTCTGTGATTCTGTGAGGCCAGCGAGTTACAAGAGTCAAAAAATTTGAACCTCAAAAATCCTGAGCCCTCACGGCCAATGGAAGGACAGTCCAGCACTGCCTGAAAGCTGGACATGAGCCTGGACATGAGCCAGCCGAGCCGGACAGCCGTGTCCTGGGCTGCATCCAGAGCAGCGTGCTCAGCAGGGTGAGAGAGGGGATTGTGCCCCTCTGCTCTGTCTGGTGAGACCCCCCTGCAGTTCTGGGTCCAGCTCTGGAGCCCCCACTACAAGAAGGACGTGGAGCTGTTGGAGCGGGTCCAGAGGAGGCCACAGAGATGCTCAGGGGCTGGAGAACCTGGTGGTGAGACCCTGGCCCAGGTTGCCCAGAGGTGCTGGAGGCTCCATCCCTGGAGACATTCCAGGTCAGGCTGGACGGGGCTCCGAGCAGGCTGACCCAGTGACAGCTGTCCCTGCTCTCTGGAGGGGTTGGATGAGATGACCGTTAACGGTCCCTTCCAACCCAAAATGATTCTACGTGATCTCCCTGCAGGACCACAATCCCCTTCCTGAGGACCTGAGACCCACACGGGCGCCCTCGCTGCCTTCCCAACACCCATGGGGCAAACTCTGCACATCTGGGGACATCAGCTGGGACTGGAAATATCTGTCGCTCTTTATGTCGTTGCCTCTGTTGTTGTGCTGCTTGCTTCAAACCTTGATTGTGCCAACTGCAGATTTCAGTCTTTAAACATTTTAATTTGCTTTAAAATCTTGTTTTCTCTAAAAAATTAACACCAGTTTTAGTTTTGTAACTGAAAACTGAGTAATGAGAGGGTTTGGAAGCAGAATCTCATAAAATATTTTCAAATCCTTTTAAAAATTGTTTTATGAAAAATTGGAACAGTGATTTTTTTTATAAACGACGTTTATAAGTGGTTAAAAAAATTACCAGGAATTTTTTGCAATACTTAGATTACAAAATAAAGCCACTTTTCAACCTTTTAAATTTGAAACTGGATTTGAAGTTCATGGCATCCTTTACTATATAAACATTTCAAAATTAACTCATCAAGATCCTCAACTCACTAGACCAGTTCTGCTTGTGCTTCATCAGTTCCTAAAGAGAGGCGGGAGGAAAACTATTAAAATCAAGAACTTTCTGAAAGAGGAGGAAAATATTTCACTGAATCTAGAATACTTGAAGTCCCCAGAACCCTGACAAAGTTCACCTCAGAACTCAAAAGCTTCACCTGGTAAAAGCAACAAGAGAAACCACCGATGTGCTGGGAATTTCCTGTATATCTTTAAAATTCAAGGTCACACAGTGCCTTCCAAAAACATCAGGCTACCTCAGCAGATTGATTTTTTTTCAGGATTTACTTGAAAAATCCAATAGCCTCAGATATTCTGAACTCCCAAGGACCAAGGTAAAATGGCACGTAGCAATGAAGAACAGTAGAAACTTTCTCTTTTTTTGGTTTTTGCAGAAACGATCAGATCTGACCACGCTGCCTGGGGAAGGCAACTCTAGAGAACAGCACGGCCATGGGGAAACAACGGGTGAGGGAACCGTGGAGATTTACAAATCATCTTAAATTCAATGTTTGGTTTCTTCCATGCAGCACGCACATACAGAAACACTGAAGAGTTTTTCATGTCCTAACAAATCGGGCAAGAGTGGTGCCTCCCCTGGTAAGGACAGAGTAAGGTCAAGCAGAGAGGAGGAGAACCTTTTAGTACCCTTTCGCTGGGGATTAAGTTTGGCTAATTGACACTAGTTTTGGTCAATCAGACCTTACAGGTTAGTAATTAAACTCTGTTGTACCACATATAGAGACCTATAAAACCCAAAAGCAGAGAGGTTGTCAAATTCTAGGTACATTAAGAGGTCGACTTCTATGAAAACAGAACTAGTTCTATTAATTAATTCACTAATTTCTATTCACTAATAAAAGTTACTTCTGCCTACTTGCTTCTCCCCCAATCAAAAAAAAAAGAGTGAAAGGAGCATGTTTATTTTTATATGTATTCACTATAAAAATATATATATTTTAGGTTTTAAAACTAAAAGTTCACATGCAGTTAACTATGCAAGTTTTTTTTTAAATCCTCAAACTCAGACCGTGAATTAAGAATGTGAATCCAGGCTTACCAGCGTATTTGATGAGTTGTAATCCTCTGTCGATTTATCTGAAAGAGACAGTAACGTCTTTATAAACGATCTGTAAATGCAGCAACAGCGGCAAAGGGAAAAAGGCAGAAGCTCCCTTCGGAAAGGGCAGGGAAAAAGCTTCTCCCAAACTCAAACATCACCTTCAGCTCCCCAAGAGCAAGCTGACACCCAGCAGACAGGGCAACAGAGGGCAAAATACCCTGCAGGTGTCCTAAATCAGGAATTTCCCAGAGTAACACCCCATGAGAAGTGTCCTCTGTCCATACACACAAAATATTTTCACTGGGCTACACCACCAGCAGAGGCACCGCAGCCAGCCCAAGACCTGCGAGATGTTCCATCTCGGCCACCTCAGCTTCCCGCAACAGCAACAGAGGATCCCACGAGTCAACTGGGGGGCTTCTCCTTTGACCATCCGGGCACATATCATCAAGATCTGTGCTTTTATCCCTGCCTGGAGCCTTCCTAACTAAGACCGGTTCTGGTGACATGACTCTACTCTCTTAAAAAGAGCCAAAACGAGGATCTCCTGAGACCCCACCTGCAGTTCTGGGTCCAGCTCTGGGGCCCCCAACACAAGAAGGACATGGACCAGTTGGAGCTGGTCCAGAGGAGGGCCATGAAGATGATCTTTAGGGTTCCTTCCAACCCAAATCATTCTATAATTCTGTTACAGATTAGCAGAAGAGAGGACTGCTGAAGGGGAGACCTTAGAGCCGCCTCCTCGTGCCTGAAGGGGCTACAGGAGAGCTGGGGAGGTGTTCAAGGCCAAGCTGGACGGAGCCTTGAGTAGCCTGATCTAGCTGAGAGGTGTCCCTGCCCATGACAGGGAGGTTGGACCAGATGATCTCTAAGGTCCCTTCCAGCCTGGGCCATTCTAGATTCTATGACCCTTGGTCAGGGAATAGGATGAGGGGTGATGGTTTCAAACTGAAAGAGGGAGATTTAGATGAGATTTAGGAAGAAATTCTTCCCTGTGAGGATGGTGAGGCCCTGGCACAGGTCACCCAGAGCAGCTGTGGCAGCCCCTCCCTGGCAGTGCCCAAGGCCAGGCTGGACGGGGCTTGGAGCAACCTGGGCTGGTGGGAGGGGTCCCTGATTTTTAAAGGAATCCAGCAGTTACCAAGACCCTAGCAGTTGAGGGGGATTCCTCAATCACGGCACACGGAAGCAGAGACATCCTCCCCCCAAAGTCTGCACAAAGAGACATCCACACCCACACTGGAAACTGGAACCAGTACAAACTTCAGCTGCCTGTTTTCCCCAGGCATTTCCATCACTGGGAACCCAGTGCCAACACTCTGGGATCTGCCTTCCAGATGCTGGCTGTGAGCTTCAGAAAATCTACGTTTTTGGGGGGTTTGGCTAGTTGACTGCCCTCCTTTTTTGCAGCTCTGCTGGGCATCAGGATTGACAGAACAGCAGTTTGTAGGAAGAGGGGTGCTTGAGCAGCCACGGAAACTCTTCATGTTTTCCTTGAAAAGACAGATCTACTCATTGATTAAATGAAAGAAACCCACAGCAAGCCGGACGAAGCAGCCGTACAAGACAACCACCACGTACCTGTAAAACTCATGTACTTCTGGCTGTTGGAGATCTTCTTGGAGTTGTAAAACTCCAACACGTCCAGCACCGCCTGGGGGTTCTTCTTCTGCTCCGATTTGGTGATGTTGGAAGTCTGCAGTAAACGCGCCCACTGCTCCGGCATTCCCTGCGGGGAGACGAGCCTCGTTAGCCCGCTTTTCTCACAGGGACATCATTTCAGCCTGGAAATAAATGCATCTGGAACGCAACCAGAGTTGTGCCGTTCGTCACCAGCAAGAATAACAGTTTGCACAGACAAAGCGGCAAGAAGTTGGGATTCTTTAGCAATAAAGTTCCCCTCCATGCTCAGAAGGGTGGCTGGATTTGCCACTCAGGTACTGACCCCCAGGTGCATCTGGGTTAATCTGGGCAAGTCTAGAGGCTAATGTGCAAAACACAGCTGCACACATGATTTGGGTAAGAGGAGTAAGTCCCTGGAAAAGTATATTGAAAATGGGTAAAAACAGCTTGATTGCAAGTAACTTGTGCTGCTGTTAAATACTACCTCGTAATCCAGTTAAGAATAATATGGTGAAATACAGCTCTGTCTTCATGGCATTTTGCATATCAATAGAAAAAAATAAAACATAAAAGCATCTAGCATTTAGCCTTAGGACAGCACACGCGTGTTCTGCCATCGGTAGCTAAGTGCAGCTGCACGTCTCCTAAAGGCGACTTCACTTGTGGGACACAGACCTAATCCAGCTCTCGAAGTGACGGGGAGGAGAAGGGAGGAGAGACAGACCACATTGTGCTGCCAGCAGGAGCCAAAAATGCCGGCAAGGCAAAGTTTGCTGGCAGCCGGGGCTCCTGGGACGCGCCAAGTTTGACAAACCGCCT